TGCAAAGGAACTGGGAAGAGAGAGGGGTGAGAGAGCTGGGAGGATGAGGCTGCACACACAACCCCCAACCCACTGCATGTCCCCTTTATCATGTCATACACCAGCCCTGTCCCCACACCCGCACTGCCACATGCTCTGACACCAACAGCAAATGAGACAATTACTTCTTTAAACAACACATGTTTAAATGTTTAAACTGACAGCACTCCCAGCATTCCCTGGAACACCCCTGCTCCACAGTTTTGCTGTGCAATTCAAAGCTTACTCAGCAGCAGGAAGCGAAATGCACTGTGGAGACCACAATTAATAATTTATTAAATAGAAACAATTCAGAAGAAAACCCCACCCATGGGTAGCTAAGACAGTTAAACCAGAAAAGTTCAGTGAGCCAGCAAACTCTATCTATGCGATTCATGTGAAGTTAAACGTTGTCTTCCAGCAGCTCTGGTCACCTCACACCACCCCTAATGTCACCCAGCTCTTGACTGAGGTGAAGGCACGCTTCCAGATGGCCACAGCTTCGGGAACAACAACAAAATCTGTCCTGGGGGCGGCAACTGTAAAAGCTACAGGAGCTCCTGCGTTGCTAAGGTTTCAAAACCATGTGGGTATTTCCCCAGGAAGGTCATTTTCCCTGCATCTGCTCTGACCAAGCGCCACACCGTGCTTTACGCAACAATCTGCTTCCTGGGAGAGGCACCTCAGGAGGGTTTTGGCCAAGCCAGGGCTCAGCACAGCCACCTCTCCATGGGAGCAACACAAAGTAGGTCTGATTTTTCTGCTGCAGGTGAACTCACACGTGCCAGCTAATGCTCAGGGCCACACTGACCGCGTCCACAGTTGATTTCCGCTGCTGTCACTAAAGGTAACAACAAATGTTGTTTTTAGGAAGTCGTGTATTTCCAAGCCTGCTGTTTACATACAACACTGTGTTCACGCTGCAGTGAGTGCCCTTTTCACATGAGCTTGCTGGGAAACACAACAGCACACACAAGGAAAAGACAGGTCAGAAAGCAAGTCCTTCCTCTGGTGACAAAGGTCACCGGGCTGTTCTTCCCAAGCACCCGAGTGTGTTCCGCACCTGGAAGAGGGGGCAGGTCATCTGTGTTGACACTGAGCAGCTTTGGCCACACTTTGCACCGGATCTCGTCCGTGAGGAGCCCGCCCTCGCTGATTGCCATCCGCCTCAGCGCCGCCACGTCGATGGGGTCACTGTTCAGCGCCTGGTAAATCTCCGCCACCTTTCTTTTCTTCTTAGCGTCGAAGTCTGCGGGGAGATCACAGAGATGGGAGCTGACAGGCGAGCAACAGCCACTCACAGCGATGTCACACACACAAGGGAGATGACACAGGGCAGCTGTCACTGTCACATGCCCTGCTGAGACAGGGGCGACCCTGGCGGTGACTCTCCAGCTGTGTGTCCCCATCTCTGCAGGCTCAGCATTGTGGGCACCTCACAGCCCGCCCGGCCCCCCCACTGCTTCCCTGTCAACCCCTGTGGAAGGCAAACGCTGCTCCTCCTGACGTGGGAGCCACCAGCACTGCCCAAACGGCCTCAGCTCCCTCCTCCCGAACGGATCACGGCTCCATGCGGGACAGGGACAGCCCTGCAAAGCCATCCTGCAACTGTTTGCCCTCTGACGTGGCTGCCAGCTCAGGTGTCAGGTGTTTCCTAAGACCAGGACTTAGGGAAGTGTTCTAAAAAGATTAGGAGAGCGCTCCCAAAACCGTGTTCCTACCGACTCCCGGGTGCAGCCGTCCTAGGGAGAAGCCTGAGCATTTCCACTGACAGCAACAGACACGAGAAAGGACACTGTTATCCCAGAGTGAACCAGTCACGGGCATGTTGACTTCTCTTCCAACAAACACAAACCTGCCAGCTACCAGTACACACAGCTGAGCCAGCAGGGAACAATTCCCACTGTTTTGAGGAGCACGGGAACTCAGGGCAGGGATGGGGAAGGGGGGGGGGACACACAAAGCACACGGTGCTGGGGACAGACACACTTACAGGACATGAGAGCGCTGCCCAGGGAGCGGAGAAGGGACACTATTTCACACCACATGGTGGAATTTGTCACCGCCGCCTCATGGGAGGGAGGAAGGAGAGAGGTGGCCAAGAGCCACCCGATATCCCACACCGATATCCCACACCGGAGGAGTTCCCAGCAAGGAAGGCTCTGCTGAGCAGCTGCGGGGCTGGAGCACAGGATGAGGCCACAAACGCTGCCTCTCCCCAGAGGCTTTTCCCACAGATGCAACGACTCTTAGGCTCCAAACGGGATTCGCCCGATAAGGGGACGTGTCCAAATAGGGTTTGGGGTGGGAGGAATTAAAAGGATTCCGATGGAGAAACAGCTGTTTCCCGAGGCCGCGCCCTCCCGGCAGCGATCGGGGAGCGCGTTCCTCTGCCCACGTGGCACCTCAGCGCTGCCCCGGCCCTCTCCCTGCGAGATCCCGGCTGGAAGTGCTGCTCTCCGCGGGGTCCGGAGGGTTGCCAGGCTGCTCACGCACACGGGCGATAAGTAGGTCGAGCAATGGACGCTGTTCCCTCTCAAAGACCCTTTTTAAACACTTCTTGGATCAAAACAAGCTGTAACAGCCTAGGACAGAGCTCCACCTCCCTCCGAATTCCAAGTTCCTGGTAACACTGAATCTGCTATCACTCACCCAGCGACTACAGTTTCCTTTTATTTCCTTTCCCGCCCCTTGAGCAAGCAGAGTTATTTGCACAACAGAAGCCAGCTCAGCTCGTCCGGTTCCCTAATCCCAGCCAGTTCCCTACCCCCAGCTGTTCCCGATCCCCTGCCACACACTGGGCTGTCACATCCCGACGCCTCCGGAAGGAGAAGACAAAGCCTATGGGAGACAAAACTCCTGTTCACACACAAAGAACTTGAGGAGTAGCGGGGAGGCAGGAGCACGTCCTGCGGGCTCCTCTCCTCAGGTCTCACTGACAAATACCCCAACATTTACACTTTTCAAAGGCAGAGCTGCAAGTATTAAAATTAAAAAAAATGTAGTTCAAAACATGTTTTGTGCTGACACAAGACCTCAAGTGTCAGGTTGACAGCTGGAGATGAGGGCGCGGGGTCTTTATTGCCCCAAAACTCAGACTGGCTAGTCCCAAACCCGGGTGGGTCCGTCGGTGCTCCTGCAGCCAAAGGCGGGGAGCAGCGCTGCAGGGTACCGGGCACCGACACACGGCCCGGCCAGGCCGGGCCAGCCCCGGCGCTGCCGCAGAGCCCCCGCTCACTGCCGGGAGCGCCCGGGGACCCTGCTCGGCTCAGGCAGCGCCAGCCGCTCCCGCCCGCCCGAGCCCGCGGCGGCCACAGAGCTGCGGGGCGGGCCGGGCCCTTCGCTCGGGCCCCGGATCGCCCCGGACACCCCCGGTTTTCCCGGGACACCCCCGGTTCTCCCGCCGGGGCGGCTCCGAGCGCAGCGCCGGCCCCGCCCCGCCGCCAGGGGGCGCCGCCGCGCCCGCAGGGAGCGCTCCAGCCCCCGCCCCCTCAGCGGAGCCACCGCCCCCCGCCCGCCGGGCCCAGCGCGTACCGTGGCCGCCGACGCCGTTGCGCGGCGGGCTCTGCCGGGCCATGTTCCCGGGCGCTGCGGCGCATTCCGGGCCGGACGCCGGGCCGGGCCGGGCTCCGCGCTGCCCGCGCCGTCCGGTCTGGTCCCGTCCGCCTCCGCCCGCTCCCCCGCCCCCGCCCGCCGGCGCGCGGCGGGACGTCACGGCGCGGCACCGCGCAGGCGCGGCGCCTCGAGGCGGGTCGCGCGGGAGGGGGGGGAGGCGGGGGGAGCGGCCGCGCATGCGCGGAGAGGAGGGCGCAGCCCGCGCGTGTCCGGGTATCACTCGAACTGAAACAACAAACATAAAGAAACAACCAAAAACCACCCCGAAATGCCCCCGGCTCGGGTCAGCTCCCAGCGCTGTCCGGGGTCCGTAACGCGGCCACAGCGGTGCGGCACCCAGGGGCTGCTGCCGCCCCATAAAAAGTACCTGTGAACCCCCCCGAGTTCCCTCGGGGCACCCGCAGCGTGGGAACGAGCGCCCGGCACTTCGTGGAAGGGCTTGTCGCGCCCGGAAAGCTCGTTCCACACTCGGGCTTCCATGTGCGAGGGCTGGCAGGCATTGGGGAGCATCAGCCCCTTGCAGTCTCCTCTTCCATCCACCTCATCCTGGTGCAAACCTCCCTCGCTTGGAATAAATGTCCTGTGCAGGTCACAGCCTGGCACAAAGAAGCTGTATTTTGTCACACTTGGTGCTTTTATGTTACAGCACATTGAGGCAACAGTCAACACGGTCCAACTTTCACATCATTTTTAGGATATAAAAGACTTGAGCACAATGCATGTCCACTGGATGACATCAAGGAGGAGAAAGCTACCCTGGTGTACATGGAAAACCCTGTCTCCCTGCCAGCAATCCTCACAGAAGGGGGCTGTGTTCTATGTCCCAGGAGTGGATTTAACCCAGCCTACATGCTCCATCCTAAAATTAACTAAGCAATGTGGAAGTGCGTGGCCATGACCCCAGGGGAGGGACAGGTGCTGGGGACAGGCAGGAGACACAGGCCAAGGCAGCAGCACGTGCTGAGGAATGGGAAGAGCCCCCAGCGCAACAACTGCTGCAATGGCTTTGGCATGGGAGTGACCCAGGACAGGTGACATTGCCCCTGCAGGCACACCAGCCTAGTCCCACAAACAGGTGGCTGAAAAAAAATCACTGAACTCCAATGAATGGCAACACACACAAAAAACCCCTAAGAACTGTTTCATCATCTCAACGCCCCACCATCAGGGCTGAGACACAAGAGGAGGCTTTGCTGGTTTTATGGCAAAAGATGCTTCTCCCAGGAGATACTCTGGCTTGTGACATCTGTGTGAGGCCCCTCTGCGCTGCTCCCCCTGCGTGTGACAGGGACAGTGGCTGCCACCGCTCCCGTCTCAGTGCACCACCACCCAGGGGAGGCCTCTACACAGGGAACTTAAATCTAACCTCGATAAATAAAACCAAATGTTTATTTACACCAAAGAATTCCAACACTGGATCTTTCACATATGAAGGACAAAGTATATATACACAGCAAGGGGTAGCAGGGCTGTAACAAGGGTGCTTTTTCCGTTGTCAATGATAATATTTGTCCACAATTAACTGGTCTACCATTTCAGTTTAAGTTAACGTCTGCTTGCTCCTTCCTCTCAGTGCATATTTACAAGACTGTGAGGTAACTGGTATTCTCACCACATGGCACGTGAGGGAGGGGATGGTGGGTGAAGATGTGGGATCGGACTTGGCGCGGTCTGACTTTTTTTTTGATTTTTTTCCAGCTTTTAAGTAGCCACCAGCTCGAAACCTATAGAAACGATTTAAAAACAATATACCCAATAACAAACTAATTCCAGAGATCCAAGCCAAGCAACGGCAGGAAGAACCCTCCTGTGAGAAAGGGGCTGATCAGAGTAGGGCTTTACTCTACAGGAGCACCTGTCTCGGGAGGTGGCAAGGACTCCAATTGGATCAGTAACCTCATTTTTAAGACTAAAATTACATGCAAGGGGTGAGTTGGCATTCTGGTTGGCTCCTAAGGAGACATTATCCAATCCAATTAGGATTTTGGACATTATCTGCACTTATTCCTTTTAAGCTTATCCCACCTCTCCCTACTGGAATTGTCTCCTCAGTGTACCCTGGCTGGGACATATGCAGGACATGGGGTTCAAGTGAGTGGTACTTTAAGAATCCCCCTCCCCTGCCTCACGAAGACTTGGTTTGGTAGTCTCTGGAGAAGAGCACAATCCCCCAAGGTGTAGGCTCGTGGAGGAATAATGGTGGGAACGTGAAGAGAAGAGATTTCCAGCAGGATGCAAGAGCTTGGAAATGCTGTTGATTCATTTGTTATTAAATGAAGAGTATTATTTTTCTTTTTTTTTGGGGGGGGGGAGAAGTGGGGTGGGGGGGGAAAGAAAAACTGTCCAAGAAATATTCCATCTGTAGGTATTTTCAGGGAATCCCCTGAGTTACGAAAAGTTCAAGTAAAAAAAGAAAAAAATCAGCCTATAATAATTTTGTATATAATGACTGAACTACTATAAATCCACAAGCAACAGTTCAGACACGGTGTCTCCAAAGCGTTCATCCCCTCCCTTCCCCTGCCAGGCACGAGCTGCGTCCTGAGGAGAGGTGGAGGGGGAAACCTCTTCCCCACCTGACTCAGCTCAGGCAGCAGGAGACAGAGCCCGTCACTGCTGGGCGCCCGCAGCAGCTGGAACCGGCATCCCCAGGGTGGTGGTGGCAGAGATGACGGGTGAGCCCGCTAGAGGTCCAAGGGGTGAAGGTGTTGGCACTGAAGAAATCCCTGGAAGAGAGACAGGGAAGCAGGAATTAAGAGTGAAAACAGCACGTTGCCACCCGGGACAGCTCAGCTTCTGAAACCAAGCGGTGGCTTTGCAGGTCGGTTATGTTTTCAGAGCTGCCAAGGAAAGCTGAGATTAAAGATCTGTCACAGTTCTCTGTGGCCTCTGAGAAGGGCTGACTGAAGAGTCACTGATGGGCAGAAGAGTGGCAGGATCCCAGAATGGTTTGGGTTGGAAGTGACCTTAAAGCTCATCTTGTTCCAACCCCCTGCCATGGGCAGGGACACACAAGGTTGCTCCAAGCCCCATCCAACCCAGCCTTGAATACTTTGAGGGACGGGGCAGCCACAGCTTCTCTGGGCAGCCTGTTCCAGTGCACTGTCCTTCAAACTGCTGCCAGGAAATCCAACTGCAAAGCACTTTTTAAAACGAGACCAGAAAAGCAGGTCAGGCTGCCCCAGACCTTACTTATCTTGCTCTCCCACCCACTTCTTTGCAGCCTTCCTTGCCCTTGTCTCCAGTCCCAGGGGATGACCCGATGCCCCACCTGCAGAACTCACCCTCCTGGATCCTCACACCCACCCAGCACACACAAAATGCTTCTTTACCACAGCAATCACCAAGAAGAGCTGAGAGCAGGACTGACCTGACATCATGCTCGCACTGCTGACAGGAGTGCTGCCACCCGGCATGTTGGACGAGCCCATCCGAGCCTGGTCTTTCACAATGGGATCTAGGAAGAGCACACTACCCTTAGGTGCTGTGTTGCCAAAGGGCTGCTGAGGCTCACAGACTGCCCGTGGCCTCTGTGCTCAGCCAGTCCTGGCACATCAACCACCATCTACACCAGAACTCAGAAGTTTACACCCTGTCCCAGTGGAAAGCGCTCAGAAGGTGTGTGAGTTGTGTGATACCAGGGAAAGCCACCTAAACATGATTGGGGGTCAGCAGGACTGCTTGACAGGAAAAGCTGAAGGGAATTAAGGTGAAGTTTGATGTGTTTTCTGTGCTAAGCAACTGCGTAATTGCAGAAAGCCAAACCCAGATCATGGGTGTAGCGAGCAGATAGATTATCACTAATTACAATCACGTGTCACGTCTCTATACACATCTCACAGCAGCTTGTGAGCTGTCAGGAGTGTCACTGGAGCTTGTTGTCTTCTGTGAGATGATCCCAGCTTACTCACTAACTTTTTACTTTCAGCTGCAGGTAAATAATGCTCTCACCTGAACAGGGACAACCCCTTCCTGCCTCCCAGGCTCCCTGTGTCAGACAAGGGAATCCCGAATTTTGCCTTTCCTCATGCTGAGCTCAGCACCATCTGTATCTCTGTGTGGACCCGAATTATTCATTCAACTCCCACATTCCAGGTTTTTGGCTTTACTAATGCTCATACCTGCAAAACATTTCACTGGAATATTTCCTGCAGGTGTAGCATAGATCTGCAGTTTGTTAATTATAGGGGTTGCTTTAGCAGCAAGAAGAAAAACCCACACCTGAACAAATGCTGACATTTTGCATTGTCGCAGCTGTTTCAAAGCCCTAAATATCAATATTTGTGAAAACCAGCAAACATTTAAAAACATTTACCAGTGGAAGTTACATTTTTGCTTGCAAACCCAAGCCCTGTTTCTCCACAAACCAGACATCTCTGGGTTTATCAAAACATCGGAATCCAATCACATCTGCCAAAGGCAGCCCCAAATCACATCACTTAGGTGACTTTCCCTGATATCACTCGCTGATTCATGGGCCCAACACAGGTATCCAACACTGGTTCCTCGGCTGGTGTAGGTGGCAGTGGCATATTTTACCCACCCAGAGAGCGGCAGCCTCAGCTCTGGTGCAATTACATGCAGAGACCAGGCTTATTATTGTTGCTGTCCTCAGTCCCCATCTGCACAACCCATGGGAACAGAGACCTCCCAGAGGCAGATCTCTCAGGGCAGCAGCTGATACTCACAGAAGTAGGGGTGTTCCATGGCTTCTCTCGCTGTGAGTCGTGACTGGTGATCGTATCGCAACAGCTTGTCTAAGAAATCCAGAGCTTCTGGACTCACCAGGTGCTGGTTCTCGCTGTGAACAAAGCGCTCCCATCGCTTACGGGAGTGTCTGTGGGAAAACAGATCCAAATCAGGCCGGGCAGGGGACAGCCACGCCAAAATTCACTCTTTTTAAGGAGCAGGGACTGTGACAGATGTGTGTCCCTGAGAGGGTTGTGGCAGCAGCCGCAGGGCTGGGGTTTGTGGAATGTGAAGCAGCAGTGCACTGTGTATCCACGCGGTGGCAGAGCTGCTGTGGCCCCGGCACGGCCACCGAGGCCACCACAGCCCAGGGACAGCCACCACAGCCCCTGCACGGCAGCAGGAATCATTCAGAATGGATTACAGGCCTAAAATTCCAGGTCCTGCTCTTCTCTTACGCCCCCGACATTGGTTCCTTTACTTTTAGTGTTGCATGAAATAACTCTATGAGGGGAAAAAATGATGTAAATGCCACCTGAAGCAGCACCTGATTTTTCCGTGCTGTAATGCTGAGAAACAGCACTGTTTCCCCCAGGCTGGAGAGAGCATTTGCCCTTCATGCTTTCTGCTCCAGCAGTTCCTTTATTGCCTGGATGACATTTAAAAATCTTTCCTCAGGTCCATTTCCATATAAAGGACTATGGGAAGCACTGGCAAAAGGGACCAAAGGCACAAGGTGACAATTCTCCAGAATTCTGGCTCTGGTTTCTCCCCTAAGTTTTTGTTTGCTTCAAGGTCTGTTGACAAAGCTGTAGCTGTGTCTGGATCTACCCAAGAGACTCCAGACCTTGTCTCACCTGCCCAAGATGTCATTGAAACGTGGATCCAGCTCAATGTTGTATTTGTCAATGTAGTCATACAGATCTTCTGTCCCCAGCACCTTGGCTATCCTCACCAGCTGGGAACAAACAGAAAAAGAAGTCACTACTGTGAGGAGATGATAATGCTGGAGCCTGGGGGAAGATACAGCAGCACATTCCCTTGGGAGCTTGAACCTGGTCTCAGTTCTGAACCAGCTTCCCCAGCCACACAGAGTCCCCAGCACCAGGAACGTGCCAGAGCTCACAGCCAGAGCTCAGTACCCCAAGGCAGCCAGGAGGGAGCCACATACCCTAAAATCTCTAAAACCTGAGACCCTGCAACACTAACTCCCTTTGTAGCAAGAAAACATTCAAAACCAAGAGAGGGGGAAGGCAAGACTAACTGGTCAAAAAAAGCAGAAACTCTGGATCTTGCATGTGAAGGGTGAAGCACCACCCCAGAGAGCTCCAGAATGGAGGTTTGAGAATAAAAGGTCCCTGTTCTGGAATATTTGCATGTCAGTCACATGCAGAGCATGTGGTAAAGGTTTGAGTATAAATATTCTGGCCTAAAGGCAACGCATCAAGGATTTCAGAATCTTGACTGTAAACCTGCAGCAAATGCAGTTTGCGTACAGAGAAGGGGGAAGGTGGATAGTGGCAGGGGCTTTCCACATAACCTCAGGAATAGCCAATCTGTGTACCAGAACACGCCAGCTGTAATGCAACTATTGTTACAGCTTCTCCCAGACTCCTACTGAGGAGCCCCTAAGTACAAAGCTCTGTAAATCCATTTCCATTTAATTGGTTACGTAATCTTGCACACTCGAGAAAAGGAATGTGGCTTCAAACTGAGCAAAGAAGCCATTAGAGAAAAGCTTAAATCCTTCTCCAGATCACTCGACAGAAGCCTAAGCAGGAAATCTTCATGGTGCTAAGAGAACAGAGATTGTACATGACCAGCTCTCACCTGATCATAGTTGTCATGGCCATGGAAAAATGGTTCCTTTCGGAATATCATACTAGCCAACATGCAACCCAAGCTCCACATATCCAGACTGTAATCATACATCTGTACAAAACCAGAAGGACAATTCAATTTCTAATGAATCAAGCAGAGCAGACTTCTAAAACTAACAGGGTCCCCCCCCTCCCTCCAGTGATACAAACAACATGGCCACATTATGCTGGAAACAGACTGAACTATCTTCATGTATCTTGACCCCTAAACACTGTTTAGCTCAGTGTTCCAGTTACTCAAACTGGGATACAGCAATTAGCAGGACAGCAGGTATCCTAGTTCCATCCCTGTCCACCAGGATATTAAAGACCAGTGCCTTTTTCTATTTTCACTGCAGGCTCCAATGTTATGAACCACTGAGAAGTGTGTGTGGGGACGGGAGGGATCACAACAAGCAACAAAAGGCGTGGCCTCCCCAAGGTCCACAGGCAGGTGAGGATGTGCCTTTTTTTCAGAACCAGTACAGTCTGAAAGTCACCAGGAACACTGTGATTTCCATAATGCAATCTGCCATCAGATATGGGGATGCTTTTATAGCTTAATTTAGAAGTTCATGCAGTACTCGCTGTTCCCACAGGGGCTTTGTTTCATTCCTGTACCTTTACTGCAAACATAGCCTTGCTAAAAAAATATTCAGCATTTGTATTCCAAGATCCATGATGATAGTTCTGCATCTCTTCCTCAGGTCCTGAGACTGACTACTCATTAGTTTCTTTAATTCAGAATTTCTTTAATTTTATGGCTGCTTTCTGCCATACATTTTGGAACAGACTTCAGCTTCAACTCTCTAGACATCTGAGTTTTGCGTTTGTTACCTTGAAATGGCACAGACTTTCCATATAAAAGTCAGTGAGAAGTCCTGGTAGTTCTTACCTGATAATCTACAAGGAGTTCAGGTCCTTTGAAATATCTGGAAGCCACTCTGACATTGTACTCTTGGCCAGGGTGATAGAATTCAGCCAAACCCCAGTCTATTAGTCTAAGCTAGAAATGGCAGAAAAGAAAAGAGGCTCAAGGGATGCTCCAGCTCTCCAGAGGCTGAAATTCATTTGATCAGAGCATCTGGTAACATATTCTCCCCAAACCCATATCACCAACCAGTGGGAATAAAATACCTCTCCTTGCAACCCTGTCTGTACATGTGACCCCATAAAAGCTTCAAAAAGCAGCACACAGAAGCTCATTTTACAGTTCTCCACACAAGGGGGTGCAGTGCCCTTTGAAGGGGTCTGCTAATACCACCACACAGGAGTACCCCCAGAAGGGATCCCAGTTTGCCAAGAGAAAAGCAGGACCCCCCTCCCTGCCCCCCCCCAGCCTCCCCACACTACCTTTCTGTGCTCGTGGTCAATCATGACGTTGTGAGGTTTGACATCTCTGTGCATGATTCCCATGCTATGGCAGTAATCTAGAGCCTGCAGGGGACAAAGAAACAGATGCTGGAGTCACAAGGACCTCTCAAGTTCAACCATATTCAGGAGTATTTGCACATACACCAAGTGTAATCAGATGGCAAGACTGCCCAGTGTTACATCCTGGACTAGACTCAGTGATCACAGAGCCCCCCTTCCAAAGGAGGTCCCAGCAACACAAGTGCCCTGACTTCACTTCATGTGCTCCCTCCTAAAAACTGGAATTTCAGAGTCCCTAAGAGCATAGTTACTAGGCACTATTGATCAAACAAGGCTCCCTTTTCCAGGCTCCTAAGGAAAAAAATTACTTGTTTCAGAAGAATGGACAAAGACATTTGACTCACATTACATTAAAGCACAAACCCAGCCAGCAACAGCTTACAGTTGTCTGTTTTCAGAGGCTACACGTACTTCTGATTCAGGATCTTTAAGCTATCTCAGTGTACTGAAAGGCTCTGCTAGCCTCAAAAATAAAATAAAAAAAAAGACCAGCATTTGTTGCAGAAACAAGGCTGAAAAAAATCGATACTGAGTTGACATTTTTCTGCCAATTCTTCCATAGGCTTTCTCTTCCCTTCCCTTAGTGATATGTCACTATCGTCAGCAACATGGAACTATCTCTACAGGATTAGCTGAGAGCAAATCCTAGAAATAAACAGCCAAAACAGCAAAACACCAGCTTACCTTCAAAATCTCATACATGTAGAATCGAATATCATAATCTGTTAATGTCTGGTATAATTGCTGTGGGACACAAACACATCATATCAGTGTTCAACACCCAAAAACCCCCATCACATCCCTGCCAATACAGAATAACCCAGCCCTGTCCTGGGCTGCTGTGGCTCTCATAACCCATATGAAGGAATAGTTCAAGTTTCCCAAGTTACTCTGATCCCACACCCAGCTCTGCACTGCCTTTCTTCTCTTGAGGTGGGTCAGTAGGAAGGGCACAAAGAACCATTTAAATCCCTACTCCCAGAAGTACGAAAGGCCACAGAAACAGCTGTCCAAATTTAAAGTGGTTTCAATAAAGAGTTGTACATATAAAAGCCAAATGATTCAAAAAGACAGGTACAGCAACAGATTCATTTGCTCCCAAGTTTAAATACCACTTGAAATCTGGATCCTCACCTTTTAACTTCTGTGGTAAAATGATACTGAAGGACTAATTACAAACTTCTATCCCAACTGTATTTACCTTTAAGTACAGTTCCTATGCTGGAAGGAAATGAATAAACAGCCTGCCTGCTCTATGTATTTGACTTTCCCCTCAAGAAACAGAATGAGTGGCTTTCAAATGGAAAAAAATGAGAAGTTCACATCCCACACTGTACCTTAAAGTCTGTGTTGTTTACATGTTCAAAAACCAAAGCGGGTGTCCGAGACTAAAACAGAAAGAAAAGTATTCAGCCATGTTATGTTGAGATAATGTTTCCATTTGGTATCATTAATTACACCATTTTTTTCCTCCTAAAACTGCACAAAACCCCTCTGCCTCGAACATATTTATGATTCCCCTCAGACAGAGAAAGCAGAGCCAAAGCCCACAGCCCCCGGCAGCGCTGTTTGCAGAACGAATTAACTTCTCTCAGCTCACTGGTATCTCTTCCTCACAGAGTGAGGGGCTGGAGGGACCTGTGGGGGAAGGGCCCTCTACGAGAAGTTTATCAGATGAAGAGCTGATCTTATTAGCCCATTCAAAAGCAGGATTTAAGAGCAGGGATAAACAAAAACCCGGATCAGAGCTGAAGTCAAACACAGAAACTTCACCCATAAGCCCAGGGTACCCTTTCAGTTGCTCCCATACTCACCACAGGATCTTTTACTATATCTGCAAGGGTGATTATATTGGGCCCGCCTCGCAAGTTCTCTAAGATCTTGATTTCACGCTTGATTTTCTTCTTTTTAACAGGCTGAAGAATAAAAAACCCAAAGTGTAAGATAAAGCACTACAGTAAAGTGAGGCTAATAGCTCAACACCCAGATGACAACACCCAGGTGACTGGGTGTTTTGCAGATCAGCAAAACACATCAGAGCCTTTGCAATATAACCCGGGTATGCATCACTCCAAGAAGGGTTCAAATATCTGCTGTCTCCTTCCTAACCAAACAACCCTGACAGCTATAGACAATAGTTCCATGTGAAGGAAAGGCAGGAAGATTTTTTTTTTAAGGCTCTCTGAACATGATCTGATAGGACAAGTGGTAGGACAAGAAGAAACAGCCTCAAGTTGTGCCGGTGGAGGGTTTAGGTTGGATATCATGAAAGATTTCTGCATGGAAAAGGTTGTGAATGAGAACAGGCTGCTCCAGTGGCAGAGGGACCCCTGGAGGTATTTAAGAGACATATACATGTGGCACCTGGGGACAGGGTTTAGTGGTGGGTTTGGCAGTGCTGGGGCAATGGTTGGACTCGATGATCTTAGAGGGCTTTTCCAACCTGAACAGTTCTGTGATTCTATGATACTCCAAAAATTCTAAACAGGCACGTGGCAAATGCTGAACTGTGAGAAGTCCATGGGCTATTGGAGGGTCACTGAAAGAAGGCCATGCCCATGACAGCATGCCAGGGTCCAGCACTTAGAGCAGGTGAGAATTTTGTAGTCAGCTGCTGAAGCGTTGCTTAGCTCTAGGTAAAAACGCGTTGCACGTGAAGGCTTCTTTAAGACAGAGCCTAATTCCTTACAGGCAGAGATCTGACTTAACATCCAAGTGCAGGGCGAGTATCTGGAGGCTCAAAATGATGGCCTGTTTCACTGAATGACACTCCAAAGCCTGGCTTTAAGGATTTCAGTTTTAGAACATCAAACAGCCCTTCCTGGCCTCTTGATCACCTCAAGACAGATTTTATCTGTTGCCCAATCCCCAGCTCACCTTGAGAATTTTAACAACTACTTTTTCATTATTTGTAATGTTGATGGCTTCAAATACTTCACTGTATTTGCCTCGGCCTAATTTTCGAACTAGCTGGTAGTCATCTTGATTTCTGTGGAGAGAAAAGGTTAAAGTTCCAAAGAGCTCAGTCATTTCCATGACAATGCTCCTTAACACTCAATCACTGCCTCACTTTCCAGACAAAAGGGATTAACCAATGTCTTCTCCTGACCAGGGGGATTAAGAATTCAGAGAGAAACAGGGAATTTCTATTTGCCCGAGTCAGATTCAATCCAGAACTATGGACTGAAAGCCCAACTATCTTTTCAGCATTAGCAAACTCGAGCTATCCCTTCTCCCCATCTCTCCATATTTGGAAGCTACATTTTATTTTGTATAATACTGTTAAAAATCAACAAAGCCAGTGAGAGCAAAATCTTAAGTGCCAGCCTGTTTAAAAACAGACCAGGCACAAAGAAGCACTTATGCTCCTGACGACTGTGTACATTCCAGAAACTGGGAACTGCAGCACAGCTGAGGGCAGAACTCTGCCTGGGCCCTCCACATCCCAGCAGGAATGCAGAGCTGTGAAGCTGCCACCACTGCTGCCTGATTCTGGGACGGTTTAGTCATGAGCTCAATTTAGACACCTCCCTCCTTCAAAGAAAAGCAGCCGTGTCTCTTGCAGTCACTCGCAGAGAGCAACAAGTCACAAAATAGCATGTACCTATTTAAGTCTGCAGAGCCTCTTCACTCATCCAAGCCAGGAGCAACTTCAGTTTGAAAGCCTTTTCACTTCTTTTCAGCCCTTGCACTCAGGGCTGGTTAGATTGTTTCAGAAAAAAGACTTTCTTCCCTCTGAAAGGGGGATGTTTCCTGACTACCTGGCAAAAACTCTTCAAACTTTTAAGGAAGCTGCTGTTCCCGTGCAGCTGAGGGTTTAAAAGTTTGATAAGAAACACTCCTTGAAAGAAACACCACGATCCTAACGCTTGACATCTGCCGAGGAGCGTGGATAAAGCCTCACAGGGGACTGAACTCCCTATGCTCCCGGATCCACGGGGATCGATCCCAGGGCAGGGACATCCAGAGGCAGCCCCCGGACTTACCCCCACTCGACAACGTGCGACTCATAGTCCCAGTACTCGCGGGGTCTGTGTGTGTTCACGTCCGTGTAAACCCTGGCCCTGCTCGGCACGGGTCCCGACATATCAGACAGGTTGGCAGGCGGAAACGAGCAGATGTGAAATCAGAGGCGACCCGGTCTGCAACGCTGCAAGGAGGAGAAAGGCCTCAGATTCCTCCACCTGCAGAGAGAACACGAACCAGAGGTTAAATTCTCGAGGTACTATAAAAGTATTTAGGTTAATCATTAAAAGCTGCTGGGAAGGAGAGGCTGGAGCCCAGCCACAGGCCTGGGATCGCTTGTCACAGCTTGGAAGCAATTTGCCTGCTCTCCCTCACACAAGACGGGTCACTTGGCCCCGCTAACAAAGCCCCCTCCCAAATCTTGCAACTTTCAGCATGTTGCTCCCAACTTCTGGTTGCAGAGATAACTTTCCAAGAGGAAAGAAATGCCACGAATTCTGTATCTGCAGACAGACTCCTTTTCAGCTCCAGAGCGAAAGTAGCAGCCACGGGCTGGAATCTCATCACTCCCCCATCTTGTGCCACCCAAACCAATTCTGCTGGGAGGAGAACCCCTTTTAGTCACGACTTTCTACAGTCAAGGCATTAAATCTTGACTGTCCAAAAGACAGCGGCATCTGTGTTGGATTATGATGCTTTACTCAAACTCAAGAAAAAAATTCTGCTGCCAGGGTCTGAAGATGTTTCTTTGCATCTGCTTGTCCGAAGCACTTGGTAAGCAACTCCAACTGTTTCTCCTTATCTTGTGATCTTTGCAAAGCTTCTGTTAGGTTTTATCAGCATTGAGACTAGTCAAAATCACTCAAAAGAAAGTTACTGTTTGTCAAATACTCTCAATTTTTATCATTTATACCTGAATATCTTATCATCTATATCTGAGTATCTAAGACAACAGTAACTCACTACAATTTTACTTCAGTATTATCCTACCTAAAATAAACGTGGTGCCTTTGCACCTCTCAAATCTTTCACGAGTTGACATATTTTTAGGTGTTTAAGTAAAGAATCTCTTTGTCAGCTTTCAAGATAACTGACAGGGAGGGGAGCTGTCTCGTGGAAGGGCTCTGTTCAGTGTAGGGACACCCAGACCTGTGGATGGGCTCGAGCAGTGGGCTGTGACCTAAATGAATGTATTTATTTGCTATGCCAATCTTACTCCTTCACAAAAAACAGGCAACTGCCAGACTGCAGGAGGAAATAATAGCCCCATTAATCAGTTATTAATGAGAAAAGACCTAGAAATCTGCTCGGAGCAGTTATCAGGCTATCAGGACAATGCAGACCAGATAAAAATTCTAGAAGCAAAATCCCGCTCTCCTGGCAATGTCCTGCTGGTTATTCAAGGTCTGCACTGCTTCAGCTGCTGGGAGGGCCCAGCAAGAACCACTGGCTGTGAAGATGGTGGAGGACCTTGAGGGGCACAGGTCTGATGCCCTTCACTGTGCCACACAACCTGACCAGCAGCTGGTCCTGCATCCAGAGGCAGAAACATCCATGAGGGCTCTCTGGCATGGACACAGCTCAGCAGCTGGGTTATTTTTTGACCTACTGACACACCAGTGGTGCTGGAGGCAGCTCCAGGTAGACAGGCTTGCACTAACCCAGTCCCAAGGTTCAAAAGGGACACAGCACCGTCCCAAAGTCCACTGAGGCCTCACACCAAGAGGGTAAGGATGGGGCACTTCAGCCTGGCTTGCAGCTAATGGAAGAATATGAAGTATTCCTAAAAATACAATAAGCCTATTCCTGGACAAAATATTAGTTCTCTAACAAAACACACTTTCAGAAGATGAGGCAGCAATCATCTAAGACCTCAAAGCATTTACATGGCATGACTCAGACACTTAGAAATTAGATGTATATTCCAAAAAGGTCCCCAGGCATTACCAGAGCATGCAAGTTTACTAGAACACTCTAGTACGGTGAAATTTATTAGATTTCAAAGTTCAATCATGGTGGTTTTGTTTCTCCTCATTCCATGTGCTTCTGGCAGGAGAAGCACTGGCTCATTTCCTCTGCCCAGTACTCCTTGTGTAAGAATTAACTGAACCTATACATGACTTAGCAATTTTAATTTTTTAAGCACAACCCAGTATCAATAAAGCACATGTGGCTGCTCCAGCTCACCCAGCTGAGCGAGATCAGCTTCAGCAAGGCAAAAAGAAAAAAAAAAAAAAGAATAAAAAAGAAAGAAAAATCAATCACATTATCTAAAGATAGATCAAATTTCACAGTGGCTATTTTTTGTCACGTAGCTCTAGCCCAGCTCAAGCAGCACATTGTAGCTGGTTGCTCAGAGAAAGGCTTTTTCAGGAAATCATCGACTGCAGCTTCTAAGAATGGCACACAATGTCTATTTACGAGGGTAGGTATTATTGTCTGCTGTTCTTTATACAGGAAGGGGAGAAAGTCTGCAGAGATAATTTAATTTTGAAGCAAACAAAGTTACAGACACATATAAAAACTTTCCCTGCCTGAAAGGTGCTCACTCACTCTGCTCAAAACAGCCAAGGAATTCGGATAGATTTTTCTTCCACTGCCCCTGGAGGGGGATCATTTTGCAGTGGATCCAAGTTCCTTGGCAGAAGGGAATGACACAAATAAGGACAGATAATGGGGACAGGTGTTGACATGCAAACATCAGTTGAGCTTCCAGTTTTTCAGGCAGAAAATCTACAGTATGAGCAGTGACTGCACCTAGAGAACCGTCTTGAGCTTCTTACAAAAGATGAGTTCTGTTTCTGCAGAACCCAAACAGAATGTTGCCATTTATTAATTCCTGCTTTAATGACAGAATCATAGAATAACTTATATTGAAAAGTCTGCTTAACATCATCTAGTCAAAGCAGATGTGACTAGATCAGGTTGCCATGTCCGATGCAGTCTTGAGCATCCCCAAAAAACCACAATGTCAAAATTTTAATTTCTCTGGTAGAGAAGTGTTTAACTAGGAAACACAACCACGAGCTTTCAGAAAACACACCAAAGGTCACAGAGAGAGGAAGACAAAGCTCCCAGCTACAATCTGACACGCTATTCACTGCAAGGGCTTCCCTGTGCAAGGACACAGAGCAGTACCCTGTTGTCTGAGCAGCTTGGCAAGATTAGACATTTTGTGCCCAAAGTTCAACAAAAGGGTAAAAAGCCTCTCAGTGCTCATTTTAAATCTGATTTTTAAAACAGTTTAACTTAAACCACCGTTACAAACTCCCTCATTTTAAAAAAGGGATGTTAATTGTCCTTAAAATGCACTCTAATTCCAAGGGCAACCCCTGCCCCCATGGGGGATGTGATATCTTGTGAAGGATCCATACTTCCAGCACCTATTCCGATGAGCACAGGAATTTCCTACACCCTCTGTCCTTCCAGACGTATCCACTTACAGCAAGTAGCAACAAAACACAGCTAAGAAATCCATGCAGATTAGTTTGAGAAACACACCTACTTAGCCCCTAGTAACATTTGCCTTTTTTTTTTTTTTTTAGCCAAGAATAACTGAGATACTGGAATATCTTTTTTCTCCTTTAAAATGGACACGTTTTTGGCACCCAGCTTCTCTCGAGCCGAGTTACTCACTGAGAACCTTAAACCTAAGAAGTTGCACCAGTATGACACAGCACTCCCACAGGCTCCCAGTGAGCTGGAAGCCAAGAGCTTCCCGGCAGGCTGGTGTCTCCAGGACCCTGCAAGTGCTATCCAAGTGATGACCTTTGTGGATAAGGTTTGGAGTATAAATAATGCACCCAGGAACACAAGCACCGCTTGACACCTGCCCTCCATGTGAACAGTGTGCTGCCAGGAAGATCCAAGTTCATCCAAAGGGAGAGGAGTGAACCCAGCAAACCACGTCCAACACCACATAACCCTGGTTTTATTAGCAAGGACCCACCTGGACTTGGTTTAGGTGAGCCCACAACAGGCCCAGAGGAGCAGGACAGGACCTGAATTGTCCCAAGCTGGACTCAAAAGAGCCAAGAAAACACTCCCATCACTTTATCAGTTCCAGACAGACTGTCTCAGAGAAGTTCACCTTCCTCTCGAGGAGAGAAGTGAGATGGACAGATCGGCCAAACAGGTCTAAGACTTTGCTCTCACTTGTACTTTCCCCACGTAAGCTCATTACAGCGGCGACTGTGCCAGGCTAAGACTGTAAACAGGCTGAGACAGCAGCAGGTTTGTTGTGAAAGAAGAAAAGCTCTGTCAGTGCAGAAGAGCAGAATTACAGTACAGAGTCTGGAATCAAAAGGTTATTCCTTTCTTTTATCTACAACTGCAAGCAAGATGTTACCTTTCACGGCAAACGGCTTAAACCCGGCCTCCGAAATCACGAGCGTGTAGCGTGATTTCTTAGGGCGAGGAAACATCACAATTATCAGATAAAACTGTTGATGATTTCCTCCACATAGCCCTGTAATCCTCCCAAGGAAGAGAACTTGCTCCTTCAGAGTCTGGAGAGTATCTACAACTGGAGAGACACCACTGAAATTACAAGATCAGGACATGCCTAAATCCTACAGTACAGCCTGGTGGCAGCCAACATCAACCAGCACCCAGCTTACCTTTGAAAGGAGAAGTAACAGTGATCAACTTCATAAAAAATATGCTTTATCTCACAAAAGAACCCGATCTGTGTGTTTTCACGATGCTGAAACTGCAGCAATACGAGCATGGAAGAATGACCTCCAGAAGTCCCTCGCAACCTATATTTTTCTATGATTTTATAGCTAAAATAGAAACAAACCTGGATTAACAAAGCTGACACTTTACATTCTTTCCTGAAGATCACTTCCCTACTAAAGGGGCACCATCAATAGAAGCACAGATTTTAAAATCTGAGTAAAAAGAAAAAGCTAAGGTTTGAAATCGAACTTTTCCCTGGGCACTGTTTTGGAACAGCAGAGGCTGCTCTAACTGCATTTTCCACCAAAGTTATTTTGCAGATTTCTTCTAAATAGCTGGTTGTGAGGAATAACAAATCATGATATCCAAAGGCCTCAACATTCCCTTAAAAAAGAAAACACGAACAGTTGTGATTAATTCAAAACAAGACATGGCCAGTCCTTAGGGAAAGCAGTTGACAGGTTTAGCTATACTGGAAGAAACACCATGGAGTAATTCTGTACTGGAAATATCCTAAAATTTAGATTGGCTCTTCCTTCATCAGCTTGACTGATCCCCTCCCCTTCCAATTCCTCGTGGTTCCTGCCAATGAAGAAATTATCCCTTGTGTAACAAGGATCACAATCCGTATGGAAGTCACAGGACCCACCACGGAACGGTTTCAGTTTTACTGTCACTCCACATTTCACAATACCCTGCACAGTCTTGGGGAAAACTTCACTGTCCCACTTTCCCAGCGCCGAGAGCAGCGTCTCGCACGTCTGTCACCCTCCAGGACGCCCTGGCAGTGCCTCTGGTGCCCACACACCCTCCTGGCAGAAGGTCTGTCACGCTTTGTCTTCCTTTGTGTTCAGACCTGTAACAGCTAAACTGTAGCAGAGCTCTCACAGACCCTCTGTGGGTCTCCACTGCCTCAGCCTGGTTGGACAACTGTCCTTTGCCAAGCGTCAGTGTTGGCAGCAGCACATGGACCTGGATCGGGACAGCCGGGATTTCCTCCAGCAGAGTGATGGGAATGCTGCTCACTCCATCTCCTAAGGGATTTTATCCAGAAGAGACAACCTTTAGAACTCCTGTCTCCCCACTTCTCTCACCCAAAGGCCCTGGACTCTCCCTCATATTTTCAGAGCTAATTTAGTCCACAGCATATGGAGCAAAGGGAAGGCTTTTCTTGACACAAAAAGGTGTCCAAAGGCTGATCTTGGACGAGGCTCTGGGCAGTGACACCAGCAAGACACCCAAGCCCCAGCATTTGAGCACAGGCTCTGCTGCCTCCCCACACCTCTGGCTGCTCCTGCCTCTGCTCCCAGCCTCCCACAGACACAGCGGATATCCTTACTGCCAGTGCCAAGGAATCCTGACACAATCCAGTAAAAATGGCTGTAAATGTAACCAGGAATTGCCAAACTAACCTCCCTGTACACACACCAAACAAGAGGCCTTCTGCAGGCACCTTTTCCCCACAGTTCTGACAGTTCAGGCCGAGCAGGGAGTGCAGGAAAGGTGGGCTGAGTTTTTTTGGAGGTACATCCCTCCAGGCCTGCCCTAAAGCCAAAGCAAGACTTCAGTGGGAAACAGTTCTTTTTTATTCCAAGAGCACTAACAAAACTAAAGCTCCTACTGCTGGAGCTTCAGACAGTGTTCCAGTCACCAAAACTACCATTTCTGAGATCCCAGCCAGGGAACTCTTCCTGAGGGCTCACAAAGGGGAATGTTTCAGCACCGCTACAGGCTCTTCACAGCTGACATCAGGTTCCACTGGCAGCGTCCCCGGGAAAGTTCTACCTCCCTAATTGCTGCTAAGTGACACAGTTGTTTTCCTCATTAATTAGTAGGCACAGAGCACTGCCAGGCCAATTGTTCAGCTGATTTGACTCTGGTTCATGTACAGAGAGGGATTCAGCCCGAACCTGGACAACTGACCTGTACCAACCACCTGCAAAAGCTGTACAGTTCCACCTGACCTGACCGTGTAATTCCCAGGGGCAGGAACAGTTACCAGAGCCAAAGGATAAAGCAGTTACACTGCATGTAACTATTCCTTCAGGAAATCCCTGTGATCAGCTGTTCCACAGAGCGGGTGATGCACCACAAACCATCTCCACTGCTCAGCTGGCATCCAGCAGGCTCAGCAAGAACCACCCGGTGCAAACCCCTGCCAGAAAGTAAAGTTCTGACATAATCCTCTAAAAATTCGTCATTACTGACACAAGATGAACCCAGCTACAACCACCCCAAAAATCAAAAGGGAAAAAAAAAAAGCTATCAAACTCCAGCAACCAGTTTAATAGCTGTTATGCCCTGGGTACCCTACCACAACATCCCAGTGCTGGGTTTAGAAATTTTATATATATATATAAAAAATTTTAAATACAGTTAGAACTGTATAAACCCCAGTGCTGGCTCCTGACACTGCAGGTGATGTGAATGTACCAACCAAGATTTTAATATTTCACCCCAGTGTTCTGGAGATGAACTGAAGCCTGGTGACCACAGCACTTTCACCAGTGTAACCCCTGGGGACACAAATGCTGAACCCACCACTGCCATGCCAAACAACCCCACAGCATCCTCCTTCACACCCTGCAAACAACCCCCCTCCAGCAAAGCCACTGTGCCAAAACCTGTAATTTAATCTTTAAACTGAGGTGAAATGAATCTGGATGCTGCACAGCGAGCAAAAAGCCCCCCCCTTTTCCTTCTGGAGTACAATCAAAGTGTGGAAGAGATGGTGGAATTCAACAGCACACTGGTAACAGGCAGAGAAGCCTGTGACAAAGCCTGGAAGAGGAGGAACATTGCAGGAGCTCTCGCTTTCCTACACTGGAAATTAATCTGTTGTGCGCGTCCACGCTCATCCATTTTCAGAACACTAAAAATAAAGATTTTTCTGACAACTCACACACACGTGTGCAAAGATGCTCTGAGAAAATGCCTTCTCCAAGGGCTTTGGCAACAACAGGCAGAGGCTCCATTTTGCCTCCCTGGACAAGCAGGAGGAACTGGGGGCATTTCTTCCCACCACAGCCAGACCTTTCCCACCCAGGGAAAGCAAGTTCTGGCACATAATTCTGTGTTGGCACTGCACAGCACATTGGACTCTCCCTACACTTGGATTAATTAAAAGAGACTAATTTAGCCTTTGGTTGTTTCAGAAGGGGCAAGGGCAGAGCCTATTTCTCTGCAAAAATGGAGTGAATAACCTCCAATTTTCTAGGACTGCTGTTAACACTCAGAGACACGACTATCCAGTGGGAAACCCGCAGCCAAGTTCTGCCTTGACTCAAAATTATTTTCTGCTTTCATCCAGTACACATTTTATTCACCATTCATGTTTAATAAATTGCCATAATATGATCCAGCCATTACAGGGCCAGCAGCTGGACAGCCTGCTTTAGAAACCGTCTCCCTGCAAATGGTAACGTCCCTTGAAAATTAGAAGTGAGTAAGAAGGACATAACTCTCAGAAATAAACTCTCTGGAAAATTAGAATTATTAATGTCGTAACTTTCCAAATGTGAGTCCGTGGTGGTACCAAGTCCACAAAGAGCTCCAAGCCCCCCTTCTGCTCTTCAGCTTCCCAAAGCAGCAGCATGAAATGGGTAATAAAATCATTTGCCTGAATGAAACTGCCCAGAGCAGTGTGAACACAGGAGCAGGTGAGACTCGTGTCACGCTCCCGCTCCTCTGCTGCTGACACCCGACCAACAGAAGACATCCACGAGCCTCTGATCCCATGGCTACATCAACAATCCCATTTCTCATCGACCTTTCCTGTGGACCCGTTAGTTGGGCACCTTGATGGCGACAGGTTTGAAAAACCAGGTTGGAAAATCACTCTGCTTTCAGACCCAGCGCTGACAACAGATGAGAAAGCTGCAGCCTCCTCTTTCAAGCAGTTTTTGTAGGTCCAAAGGAGAACTCCTTTTCTCCAATTACATTCTGTAAATTCCAGGGAAGTCAGCTCTTGGAAGCCCCTGGAAGGAGACATCCAAGCTCCGAAAAATTATCCAAGAGCTGTCCTACAATCAATGTTTGCAGCCAGACTGAGTCACAGCAGTCCTTCTTGATTCTAAAATTTGGGAGTTTTTTCCCCCCTCTCAGGACCCTTAAGGGACAGTAAGATCTAAGATGGCACCAATCTCATCCAGGGAGTTTCTAAAACAGATACCTTAATGTAAGCAATTCCATAATGGAGGAACAGTGGAGGTGACAGGTCTGGTAACCCAGAAATAAATCCCTGCCTCTTCAGAAATGTGACATGAAATTAATCACACCACCACAATGTCACCCATTTCCTTCTCCTGCCTCCCTTTCCCTTATTCCTCAGAGGACAAGAGGAAAGACAAAAAGAGAAAATTAGTTCTGTAAAGGAGAAAATGGAGAAGAAGAACTGAAGTGGAACCTGTGAGGACACCCACCATTTAATATGGCTGGGAGAAGTTGGGACCCTGTCCTCTTTTATGGTTTCTTTCTCTGTAACTCCACAAACCTATAACCACCTTCCAGCAGCCCGTATTCCACACCGATGCACCCAATTCCTTCAATCCACAAAGTTCCTCCACCCTGTTTCAGCTCCTCATGGGCAGCAGGTGAGAGGCCAAACTCTCTGGTCTGAGTGCAGGACATGCACACCCAGCTCTCCCACCAGCCACGAGGGAATGAGGACAGTAGTTTTCACTAACAATACAAATTATATTACCAGGTATTGCCATCAATCACCAGAGAAAGGTGAAATAAAGGAAATTTCTCCCCATTGCCAAGATGAGAGGGAAGGATCACTGCCCACCACCAAAGATCTACTTCATGCTCAGGGAAAGATCTGCACCTTTACAAAAAGCCCTTCTGTGCCTGGAGGCACCCACAGAACTGGGATTCCAGGTGCAAGGCATGGGTGGATCTTCTCCTGAGGGCAGAGTGCCCTGCCCTGTCCATGGGACTGGACATTCCCATTCCAGTTTTTATTTTCCAGTGTCTCCACAGAGGATGGGCCACTCTTGGTATGTTTTACCCAAGCATGGCCCTGTGCTGGAGGAATCAGAACATTTAGAAACCCATCCCAGTTTTTAGGACTAAAGGAGCTGATCGAGCTTCACATTTTCCCCCAAATCCTGCCTTGAGTCTTCCCAAGCACAACCTCTGCCCTTTTCCACATCCCACCAGCAGGAACAACACAGGGATGAGCAACTCCCCTGCCCCTGCTGATGCTGCACCTGGAATGCACACTGGGACCCACACCCAGCACCCAGGTCCCTCACCAGAACCAAAGAGCACCAAACTGAGCAATTCTGCTCCTGAAAAGAAAGTGCTTTCCAAGAACCAGCAAATAAATCACACCCAAGCACAAGCACTGGGTGTCCACTTCATTCCTGCTGTGCCCAGGCGACTCTGAGCCCTTCTGGGGGATCTTCCCGGGCTGTTTGGGGAGCACACGGAGCTTCCCTGAGGAGCCAGGTGGGCACAGGGCACAGCCCCCTCCAGACACATCATCCTGGCACGGAGGGAGCAGCTCCCCAAGGCCCCAGCCCATGTTTGAGCAGCACAAACCCCAAATCATCACAGACCCCTCTAGGGGGTACCAGGGTTGAAAGGAACCCACCAGGATCGAGTCTAACCCTTGGCCCTGAACAAGACACCCCAACGATCCCCTCCTGTCCCTCAGAGCGTTGTCCAAACCCTCCTGGAGCTCTGGCAGCCTTGGGGCTGTGCCCACTGCCCTGGGGAGCCTGTTCAGTGCCAACCACCCTCTGGGAGAAGAACCTTTCCCTGAGATCCCACCTAAACCTCCCCTTAGGCAGCTCTAGCCGTCCCCTGGGTCCTGTCCCTGGTCACCAGAGAGCAGAGATGGGTGCCTGCCCCTCCTTCTTTCCCTGAATGTTCATAATCCAAACTTTATTGGTTTCACCCAAGGCCCTGACTAAGAATAAAGTGATCTGACACACACGGGGCTCCATAATCTTATCTGACCTCTCACTTACAAAGCACATTTCACAAACAGCCACACGCAGCTCGCTGCCCCCAAGGCACAATGAACCAAATTACAGCGGGGACCAGACCGACCACCGCCGCTTCCAGAGGAGACACGGGCGGGAGAAGCCGTGAGAACGACCTTCCCCCCCGCCCAGAAAGGCCCAGATCGGAGTCCCTGCGCAGCCGGGGGTGGCGGCGAGCACCGACAAACAGGCCTCTCTCTCCCGGCCCCTCCGCATCGCCCCCGCTTCTCCGGGCAGGCCGGGGGAGAGGCGAGACCGGGCAATTTAGATAAATAACACCTACACGGCGCGAACGAGCGAGCCGGGGGCGCTGGGGGGAGGGGACGGCCCCGGTCCCGCGGGGCATGGCCCTTCCTTGCGCGGCCGGGAGCGGCCCCGGCCCGGCCCGGGGGGGGCAGCGGGGCGACCCCTGCGCGGCCCCTGCCCGCTCCCCCCGGGGGCTCCGAGCCCCTCCGCGGGCAGGACGCGCCGGGCCCTGCCCCCTCCCCGCCGCGCCGGGCCCGCCTGCTTCCCGCGCTCGCCCCTCAGCGCCGCCGCCGCGGCCCCGCTCTGCTCCTGATGGGGCGGCCCCGGCCCCAGCAGCGCCCGCGGCGGAGTGAAGGGGGTGGGGGCGGGAGGGGGAAGCACAGGTGGCGCGAGGCGCCTCTCTCCTCGCCCCCTCCGCCCGCCGCCGCCGCCGCTGCGGGCCCCGCGCGGGCGCGGGAGGCGCCGGTACCTGGCGCGGCCGCCGCCGCCGCCGCCGCCGCACGCACACAGACAATATGGCGGAGGCACAAGGCTCGGCCGCCGCCGCAGGGACCACAGCGAGGCGCGCCGGAAGCGGAACCCAGCGCGGCCCCGCCACGCGCCGCGGGGGCGTGCGCAGGGGAGGGGGGGGGGCGGCAGGAAGGAGCGGGAGGGGCGCGCCGCGGGGCGCGATGGGAGTTGTAGTCCACGGGTGTATGTGTGTGTCTGTGTGTGTGTGGGGGGGTCCCGGCTCCGTGTCCCGGTGTGTCCCCGCGGGGCGCGGGGAGGCGGCGGGGGATGTGTCGGCCTCCCCCGCCGTGGGGCCCGGCCGTGCGCGGTGGTGGCCCCGGCCCGGCCCCTCCGCGGGGCTGCGAACGGGGACCGCCGCCAGGGGGCGACTGCGGCCTGCGGAGAGGCCGCGGGACCGGCCCTTCCACGGCCTTTCCACGGCCCTTTCACGGCTTTTCCATGGCCTTTCCACGGCCCTTCCACGGCCCTTTCACGGCTTTTCCATGGCCTTTCCACGGCTCTTCCACGGCCTTTCCATGGCCCTTCCAGGCTCTTTCCACGGCCTTTCCACGGCCCTTCCACGGTCTTGCCACTTGCCCTTTCCCAGCCCCCCTGGCCCCCAGGGTCGCTACAGAGCAGTGGGATCCGGCCCCGGGGTGCAGGAGCCACGCTGCAGTTGGTGGAAGGGGCTCGTCCCTCTGCAGTGTGCACTGTGCCACCAGCCAGGCTGAGCCCTGACCTCTTCCAGCCACCCCATGACCTTCCATCCCTGCCTTTCCCCTTTTTAACCCCAATTTCCTGATGTGCAGCCCAGGGCATTAAGTTTTTTTTCCCCTCAAAGATTGGCCACAGCAGATGGTCCACTGATCCGTGGTGCAGGCTGAGCCAGGGGGGACCCCGTTTTGAGAGGAAACACATCAGGACTTGGCCTGACCCCTCTGCTGCCTCCTCTGAGTCCCCCTGGCTCATGGCACCCTCACAGTGGGGCTGACTGGGGACACACAGGGCTGGTCGCTGCTGTCCCACCACGTCCAGACTCTGGCTCAGAGCTGTGAGCCAGCCTGGAGGGGAGAGGGTCGTGCTGAGCGGTGTCTGCACCCCACTGACCCCCACAGACACCCCTGTGCCCTTTCATACGGGAGCACAGCCAGGCTTCACCCCATTTCCCCCCCCGGTGTGGGTGTCTCCCCCGTGGGAGGCTGCTGGCCCGAACCTGGCAGCCCCTGGCCCCGGGTCACTCCCATTAGGTAAAGGAGCAGCTCGTCCTGGCGGGGGTATCTCCCTCTCGCGCTTTCCTTGTATTGTACGGGCCTGGGTCATCGAGGAAATCTTACAGGTCCTTCTGCTGCCGAGTGGTCACGGGGGAAGCCCGGCCCCCTTCCCCCCATTGTCAGCGGCCGGGCCGTATCCTCGCTCCGAGCCCCGGCCCCTAAAAATAGCTCTTTGTCAGGCGATTGTTCCGACACCTTCGCGGCGGCATTGACGTGGGGCCGGAGCGGGAGAGCGGTGGGGTAGGTGGAGGGGAAGGGCTGGAGGCCCCCCCTGGGACCGCTCCGAATATTTGCCGCTGATAACGGCCCCTGCTGTGGGGAAATGGGCTCCGAGGCCTTCCCGTGCCGCTGCTGCCAGTGGTCCCGTGCCGCTGCTGCCAGCGGTCACCTCTCCCCCACCTGTCCCAGCCCTCCTGCCAGCCCTGCACCGCACCCACCGTGGGCTCCCCACGCGGGGGATGCCTCTGCCCACAGCACACAACCTTCCCAAGACCCCATTTCAGACCCTGCACCCCCCAAACTGGCCCCCTGGAGTGCCCCTGACCTGCTCACCCCGGTGAGCTCAACCCGCTGCTGGAGGGTGGGAGGGCAGCCAGGACCCCCATGGCATTTCAGAGGGGTTAAGCCCAGCCCTGCAGCGCTGTCCCTGCTCCGGGCACTCACAGGGATCCCTGGCAGTGTAACCCTTCCCCATCCCCACTGAGGGCCCCATCTGCAATGATGATGCCTCTCTGGTGGAGCGTGGACCATGGTGTGGGGCCCTGGGGAGCCAGCACCCCTGCAGGGCTGGTGCTGGGGAGACATCCATCCAGGGGACAGCCCCCTCCCTTGTCACCCCCTGCCAGCCACTGCCAGCTGGAGGTGACTTACCCCCCCTCCCTGGGCCCTCTCCTGCTCAGCCACCCCAGCTGCAGAAATAGGATTTTATTTCCCATGAAGAGGTCTGGATTAAAATAACCTCCTGGCCCAGATCCCTTTTCTAGTGTGGCAGGAGATGTTTGCCTGCAGCTCCTCTGGGCACCCGAGCCGTGACCCTTCGGGCTGGTGTCCCCAGGGTGGGGACGTGCCCGTCCTCTGCCTGGCCCTCAGGGATGTGTCCCTCTCCCAGCTGTGCCCAGCCTCGCTGACTCCTGGGCCACTGGCCCTGCTCAGCTGTTGTCCCCAGGCTGGGCTGAGCCCCCCAGGGGCTGCTGGCTGTGGGGCAGGGCACGAGGCCAGCCCCGCTCTGATTACCCCCAGCACCTTTTCCTTTTTTCTTCCTTAATTTACCGAGTGCTAAATCCAAATATTACAACTTCCCCTCCGCGCCGCTGGTTACGCAGGCGGCCCCGGCCGGGCATTGTCTTATTGTTTGCGGAGGGAAGCTCCAGCGGGAGATTAACCTGGCGTTCACCCCGCGCCACGGCCTCACACCCTGTCCCTGCTGCAGGGCCCGTGTCCCCCGGGACCGCGGCCGGCACGAGGTCCCGGTGGGGCGAGCGGCTCTGAGGGGTCCTGTGCATGGGGGGGACGATGTGGTGGGTGGTGGCAGCACTGCAGCTGTGCCCCCTGCACCACTGGGATGTGCGGGATCTCGGCTGTGCGTCCCTTGGGATGGTGAGGATCTGACAGGTGTCTTGGGGGTCTCAAGCAGACCCTTTGCCCTGTTTCTTCCCCAGGAACCCTGGCAGGGTGCTGGCGGGGTTAGTATGGTCTGAGTCTGCCAGCACTGGGAGGCAGTGACTGCCCAGCACCCCAGCCTGGTGGCCATCACGCTGACCACTGGTCTCCCCATCCCATCCCATCCCATCCCATCCCACCCCACCCCTGCCCATTCCTCCCTCGTCCTTTTCTCCACCCTGCCCTGGGCAGCAGAGCCTTGTCCCCCTGTTCCCCTGTCCCTACTCACTGCCATCTAGACCTTGGGGGTCCCTTCCCAGTCCTTTGGCCCCTGGTCCAATTTGAGGGGTGATCTGTGGCAATGGATCAATCTCTGTGATCAGTGCCACAGGGAGGATTCCCCTGCCAGCAAGTGGCTGAGCTCTGAGGACACATTGGGGTCTTCATCCTGAGCTTGTGCTCTGGGGGAAGCCCAGTGAGGACAAGGCAACCCCAAAGGTGTTGCCGAAGGACAAGGCCTGAGGAAGGCTGGATCCTAGCGCTGGAATCTGTCTTTGTGTCCCCCATTCCTGGCCAGCTCCGCTTCTTCAGCCGTCTCAGGCTCAGGCTCAGGCATGGCTTAACCCCACTGCAGCATCCTGGGGGCGGTGGGTCAGGAGAGCAGCGCTGCCAACTGTCTGCAGGCTCTGCCCAACCCCTCTGCCCTCCATCCTCCCACACCCCATGGTCAGATGGATCCCCTTGGGTCCCTGTACAGCCACGGATCCCTTTCCACCAGCGCTGGTTCCAGGGGCTATCAGGTCCTGGCCCCCCATCACTGGGGGTTGAGCCCCAGCCTGACCCCTTGCATGTGACTCCAACAGCTCCTGCCTGGCCAGACATGGCCTCATCCATCCCATCAGCTCAACAGCTCTCAGCACCCACGGGTGCAGCCCTGCTGCATTCCAGCCTGGCTGGCCAGCCTGCAGAGAGCCTGAAATATTTGGGAGGGGAACGGAGAAGGGAAAGGGAAAAAAAAATAATAAAATAAAAATCTATAAAAAGAAAGTTTAAAAACACAAGTTAAAGAAAAAAATACCAGGAGCGGAGTGCAGCTGCGGTTCTGGTTCCAGTTCCCAGGTGATGTCAGGCCTGGAACCTCTCCAGCCCCGGCCCCTCAGAGACGGTCTTTGTGGGTTCAGCACTGAGTGTTTTTCCTTCCTGAGACTCGGGGACACCTTCCTGTCTCAGAGAAAGCAGCCAAGAGCCTTTCCAAGGGTGTCCGCACGCAGGAAGGGGAGAGGATGGGAGGGGAGCGAGAGGCAGCGCGGTTGGGCTCGGCGTGGGGCTGTGGCAGCTGCGGGTGATCGGTGGCCGTGGTCAGAGCACTCACCCCACACGGGGCAAAGGGGCGCCCGGCTCCCACCAGCCCAGCAGGCTCCAGCGCCTCTGAGTCACCGTTTCCCTCTTGTGGTGCTGGGAGGAGCTGGAATGCACTGGGATCTGCGGGCTTGGCACTGGGACACACTGGGACCCACGGCCTCAGTGCTGGGACACGCTGGGATCCATAGCCCCAGCACTGGGACGTGCTGGAATCCGCAACCCCAGCACTGGGAGTTACTGGGTGCGCAACTCCCGTGCTTGGGCATACTGGGATCCAGGGCTATCAGACTGGAGCTTGCTGGGGCCTTAATCCCTGGCACTGGGTGTACTGGGATCCATGTCCCCAGTACTGGGACGTGCTGGATTCCACAGCCTCAGCACTGGGACCTACTGGGATGCGTGGCCTTTATATTGCAGCTGTTTAGGCCACAGTGCCTGGCACTGGGACATACTGGGTGCACAGCTCCTGTGCTGGGACTCACTGGGACTCATGGTCTTCATACTGGAGCTTGCTGGGGCTCTAGTTGCTGGCACTGGAGCACTGGTGCTCAGCCCTGGGAAACACAACCCACCGGTTGGGACGCACTGGGACCAATGCATTCAGTGCTGGGACCTGCTGTGCCCCCAGCACTGGGACCACCAGCCCTTGCTGGCCCCCTGGGGGGCTCTGGAGCCACCGCTTCACAAGGACGGTCCCCTTTCATGTGCGGGTCGGGCTGTTTGTAGAGCACAGCCCCCCCCGCTGCCCCTGCCCCCCGATAAACCCGGGGGCAGGGATTCTGTGTCCTGGGCTGTTTGGAGAATCTCACGGCTGTTTATTGGGGCCTGGGACACATTAGCCACGCTGAGAACAAACCTCTCCCACCCACCCCGGTCCCTGCCTGGGACCAGCTCTCACAGCTGCGCTGCGCTGTCAGCTCCATAAATCAAACCCGGGGGAGGGAGCCTGGGACAGGCTCACCTCGGTGAGTGGGGGGCCGAGAGGTGCTGTGGGATCCCAGTGGAGTCCCCTGCCCGGGGCAGGCTCCAGCAGGACCCCCAACATGCTTCCCCTGCTCTGTGCTGGCTCCAGGTCCCCAGGGAGATGGGGCAGCTCCGGTTCTTCAGCCCTTGAGGGGAGCCCCCAGCCGCCCCATCCACAGCTGCCTCTGCTCCGCAGGACACGCCGGCCCCTGGGAGCCACCAGCCCCGGCACGGCACCTTTCCCAGGCTCGGCACTGCATGCCGCCCAGCCAGCCCAGCCCCTTCAAGCAGAATCCCATGGGGGGCTCTGGCCTGGGAACCCCCCATGTCCCCACCTGACCCCATGCAGGTGCTGCTGCCTGCAGCCCCTCCACGCACGGCTCTGCGTGGTTGTTGTGGCGGCAGGGGCAGTCGTGGCAGCGGTCACAGACCCGGTGGTGGCAGCAGTTGAAGTGGGGATAGTCATGGTGCTGGTGGCAGTCATGGTGTTGGTGGCAGTGGTGGCAGTCAGGGTGATGGTGACATGGCACAGTTCATGATGCACCAGGCGGAGGGAAAGGCACAAAAGCAGCTCCGCTGACCCTGTCCCACTGCCTGAGCACTGTGGCTGCAGCACAGGGTTGGTGGTGCTGTCCCTGTCCTGTGGCACAGCACTGCCTGTGCCGGGCCTTCCACAGCCTTCACAGGGCCAGAGCTGTCATCAGGGCCTGGGAATGTGGGGTCAACGTGTGCTGTGGGGGTTTCACCCCACATGGATCCCACTGTGGCCAGGAGTGCAACTGTGGGTAGAGCTGTGACGGTCGCACCGGCTCCAGGGGCACAGAGCAGCGGTGGAGCAGGGCCGGGGGTCCAGGGCCATCTTGGGGACCCCCACCTCGCCCCACACCGGGGCAGCAGGCAGGCACGGGCCCATCAGAAAAATAAGGTTTTATTTTCCAAGCGGCTGCACGTGCACAACCAGCGTCCCCAGGGCTGCAACACCGTCCCCCTGGAGCGCCTCCACGCCGGCCACACACGGGCCCCTTCCAGTCCAGCCCCGGGGCGCGGGGACCCCCCTCCCCGGCCCTTCCCCATGCGGGCAGCCTCGGCCACGGGAGCGTCCTCCCACCCCACTGCCAGCTCCAGGGCCGGTGTCGGTGTGGTGCCAGCCTGGGCTCGGCTCCCTCCCTCCCCGCTGCGGTCTCTGGGCTGGTGTGTGCGGGCTCCGGCCGGCTCTGCCGCTGTCTCAGGCGGGTGCTGCCGGACCCCGGCTCATCTCCGCGACACTCGCAGGGGGGTGACCCCTCGCACCTTCAGGCAGTTGCCCCCAAGGTCCCTTCGACCGCCCTGCAGAGAGAGGAGGGAGAGCTGCAGGTACCGTGGGGTGTCCAGGAGTGGGCACACCGCTCCTGTCCACTGTTCACCCCACTGACTCCTCAGTGGGGACCTGCGCTGAGATGGCCAGATCCACAGTCCTAGGGCAGCTCAGTGCTGCCTGGGATGGACAGACAGACAGACGAGACAGATGGGGCTATGCCTGATGAGAGGCTGGGTGGACGACTGAGAGGAGGGTGCTGTGGTGGAGCTCCCTGAGGTGGGTCCTCATGGCCTTGTCACCCTGCAGGACACAGCTCTAATGGCTGTTCAGGACCTGTGGCCAGGGCCAGTGCCACTCCAGGACAGACCCACAGCCCCAGGCAGACCCACAGTCCAGACTGGGATGAGGAGGCTCAGCCCCACCTCCCAGTGCACCAGCACAACTTCAGCCCAGTACTGCCCAGTATAACCCAGCACAGACCTGCATGGCCCAGATTTAGCCCAGAATGTTCCAGTATAATCCATCATGGCTCAGCAGAGCCCAGCACAGCCCAGTTCCAGTCCAGGCCGTTTCCAGCCTTGTACAGCCCAGCATGGCCCAGTACAGCCCATTTCCAGCCCAGCCCATTTCCAGCCCTGTACAGCCCATGTCCAGCCTAGCCCAGCCTGGCCCAGCCCATTTCCAGCCCAGCAGAGCCCATTTCCAGCTCAGCCCTAGAGCTGGGAGGCACAGAGCTGGATCTCAGCCCAGCTCCTGCCATTGTGCCCCAGAGTTCTGGGTGCCAGAGATGATCCCAGGCCCTGGTGCTTCTGTAGCACCCCCTGGGTGTCCAGCACCATGCCCGCCCTCTGGATCCAGCCCTGGGGAGCAGCCCAGGGTCACAGCTCAGTCCTGGCTGGAAGGTCCCAGCTGGTGGCAGCTCTGCCAGGTTGGGTGGGGCCAGAAGACTCCCAGGAGGGCTGGAGAAGCTGCTGAGGGAGCGGCAGGAGCAGGGGAGCAATTAAAGAAAGAGCAGCAGAAACCAAAAAAGGCCCAAGGGCTGGAGTGTGACCTGTGGCTGAGATGCCTGGGGTTACACGTGGGACAGCTTGAGGGTCTGTGGGGACAGTGGCAGGTCCAGCAGCCCCCGCTCACAGCCCTGCCAAGGGATGCACGTGGAACAAGGCAGCTGCCAGGCCCTCAGCCTGCACAGCCCACCCTGGGTCAAGGGCACCCAGGACCCTGGCATGGGCAGGAGGATGGACTCACCATGGGAAAGGTGCTCCCTGAGCCTCAGGGTGCTGGGGGTGCCAGCTGGGCAGGCAGGGCAGGGCAGGGCAGGGCAGGGCAGGGGTGCTGTGCCAGGGCCCAGCTCAGCCCCCCGGCTGTGTGGGAATGTGCTGGTGCTGGTGACAGACCCTGCATGGGGACACTGGGTGGGGAGCTCTGTCTGTCCCCATCACATCAAGGAGCTGCTGAGGGCAGCCCTGCCACAGTGTCGGTGGGCTGGCAGGGCTGGGGATGGAGATGGGAATAGGGACGAGGATGGGGATGGGGCCAGCGTGTGAGCTCTGAGCTTCCCCAAGGACAGCCAATTGCCTCCAGCTCTGGGGTGACTGTTCAACCCTCGAGACCTCCCAGCCCGGCTGGACGTGGGGGAGCAGCCCAGCCCTCTGACGCGAGCTGGAGCTGTGGGCGTGCGGCTACGAGCAGGATTTGGCCGGGAGCAGCCAAAACCTCCGGTGGGAGCTGGAGCCAGAGTCTGCAGTTCTCACTGAGCCATGCCAAGGCTCCTGCCCTGCTCAGCCCAGGCAGGGCCTGCTGCCCTCTGTTCCCTGTGGGGATGTGTTGAGCCTCCTGCCCTGCTCAAGCCAAGGCCCCCCGTCCCAGCGCCCCGCTCACCCCTTTCCGCTGGTTGCTGAGGCAGAAGGTGCAGATGCTGCGGGGCTGTTTGCTGTCCAGGTCGCCCTTGGCGCCGTAGATGGCACTGAAGCAGGGCTGCCCGTCCTCGCAGCCCTCGCCCAGCAGCAGCACGTTGGCCAGGTGGGAGATGTAGCTGGAGGCCAGGCGGAGGGTCTCGATCTTGGACAGCTTCCGATCCACCGGCTCGGTGGGGATGAGGGTCCGCAGGGCGGTGAAGGCCGTGTTGACGCTCTGGGTCCGGTCCCGCTCCCTTGCGTTGGCCGCCTGCCTCTGCTTCACCATCACCATCGGCCCCGGCTTCCGCGGCAGCTTGCGGCGAGCCTCGGCCCCCTCGCAGCAGCCGAACGACTGGTCCGACGTGTCGCTCTCGCTGCGGTTCTCCTCGTCCTCCGAGAGGATGCTGAGGTCGGGGTAGAGCACACGGGCAGCCACGGGGCGCAGCATGGTGAAGGCCATGGCGGGGTGCCCGCCCACGCCCCCGGCCCTGCTGGGGGAACCCCCCGGGCTGCGGGGAGCCTTCCCCCGCCGGCACAGCTGCGACGGCCGGCTCCGGACGCCTTCCCGCTGCCGCTCCGCTGCGGCAGCCGAGCAGGGCTGGGACGACTGTCTGCGGGGGGAATCGGGATTTATACGGCCGGGGAGGGGCTGGCTCTGGAGCCCACCCCCAGCCGGCCCCCCGAGCTCCGGCCAGCGGCCAGTGGCCAGCGGCCAGAGTCCTCGCCCCAGCCCCGAGAGCCAGCGCTGGCTCTGGCCACCGGCCTGGCCCTGCTCTGGCACGCTGGCCTGCCCATGGGCACCTTGACCCCAGGGCCAGACTCTGGGTCATGCCCATGGTGGTACCAAACTGTGGCGGTGCCAGGGCCACCGCCTGGCAAAGTACTCCCTGTGCCACAGCCTTTGGCACCTGTGGAGTGATGCCACACGCAGTGCCAGCTCTCGGGCAGCGTGTCCCCAGCCCCTGCCCAGCTGTCCCCTGCCAGCTCTGGGCCCCATGCAGGGTGGCACTGGGCAAGCACGGTGTGCAGAAGCTGGGATAGGGCAGGTACTTGGGAGCAGGTTCAGGGGATGTTTAACGGAGGGGATGCCAGTGGGGGACATGCTGTTCCCCACACCCAGCCATGCCCCACACCCTGCAGTGCCCCACAGGGACAGGGTCTGTGCCCAGGAGAATGTCCAGGGCAGGCAGGGAGCCCTGCAGGGATGCATCCCTTGCCCCCCTGTTCCCAGGGCCTGGCACCCCACCTGCCCACCATGGGAGGATCCGGGGGGGTTGAGGGGGGTGACATGGAGAGGCTTGGGCAGCACTGCCGGCAGCACTGCCAGGAGCGTTTCCTCCCGCCCGGGAGGAAGGTGTGCACCGGCAGTGGAAACACGGAGTCTTTTCCTGAGAGGGGAGAGATGAGCTGGCAGCAGCAGAAATCACCAGTGTCCTGGGGAGGGCTGGGGATGCCCCCCAGCTTCAGGGTGGTTCCCTGTCATTCCTGGGCACTCAGTACCGCAGATGATGGTCACCCCTGCTCCTCCTCACCAGGGAGGTCCGTGTGGGTCCCATTCTGCCTTCAATCCCCCAGCCCCAAGCCCAGCACACCCTGGAGCAGGCAGGGGGGAAGCCAGCTGGGCCAAGTGGGCAGGAGGCTTCCTGCCTGCCTTCCTCCCCTTCCTCCTCCTCCTACACGATGCTCCAGGCATGGTAGGTCCAGCAGCAAAGACACATGAAGGGCAGGACCTGGCTCCTGGTGGATGGCCCCATGGCTACCAGGGATATGGCCAGAAGACTTGGCAGTGCTGGCTGCAGTCCCCACTGTCTGGTGACCCCACAGCCAGAGGGGAATGCCAGTAGAAATCCTGGAGGCTTGTCAGGGCTGGGACAGTGGCCGCAGAATGAAGCAGGCATGCTGCAAAGCCCACAGCAAGGTGGTCAATGGATGGGGGCTGGAGGCTGTGGGATGGGGTGGCATCACGTCCCACAATACCCCGTGGCCAAAACCCCGTGGCTGTGGGACTGGAGCTCATGGTGGGGCTCCTGGTGGCTGGGCTCCCCACGGGGCTCTCCCAGTGGTGCCAGGGCTTGTGGCTGCTGGACCACGGCAGTGGCAGATGTGCTGCCTGGTAGTGGCACCACATCACTGCCTCCTGTCCCACTGGCTGTGAGCAAACGGCCCCTCTGCCCCCCGCGGGGCACAGGCAGCCCCCGGCTGGCGGGACCCCCCTGCCCTGTTTTCCTTCACCATTTGTCTGCCTGTGCAGAGCCTGTAAATCACACGGTGGGGGGAGCAGAGAGTTGGGCTGGGGGTCCTGCTGGGGGCATGCAGGGCTGCACCAGGGACCGGGGGTCCCACTGGGGTTGGGGACATACAGGGCTGTGCTGAGGGCCAGGGAACTTGCTGGGACTGGGGTCGTGGAGGGTGTGCTCTGTGTCCACACTGACACCTCTCACGATGCCTGAAGGACCCTGACTCTCTTCTGTAGCCCCTGCCCAAGCGCAGAGCCCTGCAAAAGAGCATGTGCAGGCAGTGCCAGGGGCAGAAGTGGGGATGGGCAAGCCCCTGGCATGACAGGCACAGAGCAGGCAGGGAGCAGGCAGGTGCCTGCGCAGAGAGGGGAACCTCCACTCTGCCCCCCTCTGACCCCCACATCCCGCTGGGCTGTGCCTGGGGGGCCACAGCCGCCCCCGGCCCTGACAGGAGGCAAGACGGATGGCAGGGGCTGTGTACTCAGCTGCACGCCCCACACATGGCCACCAGCTGACAGGGACAGGCTGGGGGGGTGGGGAGTCACCCAGTCCCTGCTCCCAGCCGACCTGCCCCGGGGCTTTTCTGGGGGGCACAACCTTTCTGTGGGGCTGTGCTGGGGTCCAGGGACAAGGTGGGGCACAGGTAGGAAAGGAGCAGCAGGCACTGGAGGTGGCTCAGTGAAGGGCAGGGGCAGCACAGGCGTGTATGTGCGTGGGCGAGCGGCTGCACACATCTGTGCATCCAGGCGTGTGTGGGCACACGTGCGTGATGTGTGTAATCGTGTGTGCCTGTGCATGGACACACATGACCGTGAGGGTGAGTGCCTGTGTTTGCACAGCGTCACATGTGTCTGTACGTGTGCGTGAGGGGGAGTGTGCAGGAGACACCGAGTGCCACCGCCTCCTGCTGCAGTGATCTCCCCAGGCTGGCACTCGCGTGTGACCACCGCCTCACCAGGCCCTGCACACAGGGGGACGGACAGACAGACAGGAGGAGCCATCAGCCCTGGCTGAGAGACCAACAGGAGCCACGGGAAGCAGGGAATGCTGCCTGCTCCCTGCCTGCCCAGCTGCCTGCGAACACAGCAGGGAGGACGCACGGCAGCAGCCGTGTTTTCCTGTGCTGCCTGGCAGGCGTGTGGTACAGGACGTGCATCCCCATGCCTGGACCCCCTTGGCCCCCCCAGCGCTGCAGCTCTGACTCAGCTGGGCAGCACGAGGCTCAGCCGGGGCTGCGGAATCGCAAACCTTCCGCCGGCTTGAGCGGGTGCCAGGACACGGCAGGGTTTGGCATCGCAGCTCTCCTGGCTGATCCAGCCGAACAAGCTGACCCCTGGGCAGAGGGCAGCACTGGGCTTGCACAGAACCCTGCGTGGGACACGTGGCACGGAGGGGACATGGCCCGAGCATGGGGTTGCAACCCTGACCCCAGTCTAATCAGGCCCTCCCAGGCTGGGGGTCATCATGGATTTGGGGTACTGGGCACCCCAAGGGCTGGGTCCCGCCTCCACTGGTGGGGAAATGCCCCCTGCCCCCACTCCAGGGAGTGTTTATCTTTGAGGTGATACTTAAGTGTAAGAAAATAAACAGGGAGCAGATGGGCCAGAGGCCAGGGCTGCCCCCAGCCCTGTGGGGCCACTCTGGCCCTGCTGGGAAAACACCACGGCCGGCGAGGCAAATGGATTACAGACCTGCGGCACTGCTGGAACATGTGGCCACCAGGACATGGGGCCTGACCCTGCTGAGCCCCAGAGAAGCAGTTCTGGACTGACCTGTCCAACCCCGCCCCATCCCACCATATCACATACATCCCATCTCACCCCACCCTGTCCAATCATGTCCTATCCTACTGCATTGCATGCCATCCATCCCATCATATCCATCCCCATCCCAGCCCTTCCCACTGAGTCCCCCAAGGGCACTGTCTGGCCCCACTTTCCCATAGCCTCTGATCAGCCCCTGGTGCTGGGGGATGTCCAGGACTGGCTCCTCTGCCTGTGGCTCCCCAGTTTTGGGGTTCTCAGGCCAGTGAGGCCACAGACTCAGGAGCTGCCCCATCCCAGAGCCCTGCCCTGTCCAGCTGAGCACATGCACCCTCTGAGTCCAGGTACCTCCCATCCAATGCTGAGCTCAGCAGGGCTGGGATGTCCAGGGGAGCCTATCCCTGCTCCCTAACACTGGGACACCAGGGCTGGCAAACCTGGGAACCCCTGGAGCCCCCCTGGGTGGAGAGGAGCAGTCGGAGTCTCATGGGGATGGGCCTTGTGAAACCATTGGAGGAGCAGGAGTGTTTTGCTATTTTCCAGCATCGGGGCTGTGTCAGGGTGACCCGGTGGGTTCCCAGGCAGTGTGGGAAGCACCAAGCCCCCTCCACCCGCCCCAGGGCTGTACCTGCAGGTCAGGGCTGCCGGTCTGGAAAGCATTACACGCCTGTCGTGCGGGGAAGTCTGTCCCAGTTCCGGAGCCGGGACCCCCCCCACCCGTCCTGGGCTGGGGGGAGCCCACAAAGCGCCTTTGTTCCTGCCCTGGAACGAATGGATTGGAAGCAGCCGGATCGGCTGTCAGCCGGCGACACCGGAGACCTCGCGGGTCAGGCAGAGGGAAGGCGGACAGGTGGAGGACGGATGGATGGAGGCAACGCAGGGATCGTGGGCTCTGGCAAGACCCACTCCCATGCCAACCAGGGGGTTGTGGCACCATCAGCCCCAGCTGTGCACCAGCTCCCGCTGCCCACACTGTGCCAGGACCAGGGATGCACCAGTCAGGCCTGGAGATGCTCACACAGCACCTTGGACACAGTGCCTGGACGTGGTTCCCAGCCCGTGCCAGCAAGCCCTTGGAGCAGAGTCACAAGGCACCTTGGTGCTGGCACAGACCCCTGGCACTGTTTGCAGGGGGTGGGGAGAGGGAAGACCAGATCCTGCAGTGGGCCTCCCAGGTGGAAGAAGCCCCTGTGGGGTGCAGGGAGAGGACTTGCAGGATCTGGGTAGCCTTGGTTTGTTTCCACTTGTGGAGTCCCAGCTCTGCTGAGCTGTCTCTCATCCGAGGGAAGAGGGGCACAAACCTGTGGGAGAGGGGTGAGCAGAGTCCACATGAGACGCCCAGCATTGGGGGCACACAGGACCGGGGCAAATACCGGTCCCTGCCATTGAACACCCATTTGGGGCACCTTGGAGATGTCCCCACTGCCACAGGAGCTGCAGCAGGAGCTGCTGCCTCCTCCCCTCACCCCCTGCTCTCTAACAAGAGGAAACTTTTTAGCACGCCACAATTCTTCGGAGAAATTTATGGCCCATCAG